TAGGACGACGGTGGGACCGATAGGATCCTAGGGGACCGAATAAAAAAATTCGACCTCCCAAATCCTACGGTTTCATGCCCCAAGAAGACCGATCGCGACAAAAGGGAATCACCGTCCTACCTGAACACGCTGCGGGCTACAACAAGAAGGCCAAGGCCCTCAAAGTCCCCCGTCCGGAAAAGCCTCCAAAGGAGTATTCTACTCCTCCGCGGGCTCGGGGGCTACTATCGGGTATCGATATTAGGGATACCCAAAGCAAGGAAGTTTGCGTCCATGCTGACTTCCCTGGATGGCTTGAGACGTATTAAAAGGTCTCGCCAGACCCCAAGGTCGTGGGCTCCGTCTCGCCCGACCTCAAGGCCATGGGCTCTGTCTCGCCCGACCCTAAGAACGCGGGTTCCGTCTCGCCCGAAGTCACGGGTTCCATCTCGCCCAACCTCGAGGATGCGGGTTTCGTCTCGCCTAAGGTCACGGGCTCCGTCTCGCCCGACCCAAAGGACGCGGGTTTCGTCTCGTTCGACGGGAACCCATACCGCCGCCAACCACTCCAGGTCCAAGTGTATGGGCCTAGGTCAAAACTCTGACGCTAGGGAAGAGGCTGGCACGCCTCGATATATCCCGTGGCCATGACGGGCTATACCTGGGAATTCATATCAAGAAAAGTGTCGGGTGTGCCGGTGCTGTTATGCCTAATCCTCGTACGGACGCTGATAGGCGCGTCAGTTCACCACGACGTCCACTGGAACGGAGTGGAACGCCATGACCGGCAGATGACCCCTGCGCATGGCGCCAGTGACGAACATGGTCGTTACGTGGAGCCATCCCTGTTAACATCTGCAGGATCGGCGGGATCCGCATGAAGGAGAAGAAGGACCCGACAATCTTGGAAGCCTTCTTCTCTCTCGTTTTTCTCTTTTTCCTCCTCTGTAACCCACGATTTTCCTTCGCCTATAAAAGGGAAAGTAGGGCGCCCCATAAAAAGGGATCTAGACACAAGAACACGACACGAGCACATGGCTGAGCGGCAAGCGAGCTCTCAGCACCCGTTCACTCCATCCACCAGAGACTTGGGATCCTCTCGCTCTCTCGCCTATTTATAACCCCTACTGCAAATCAAGTGCCGGTATCACGAACAGCAGCGAATTGGACGTCGGGATGTTTCGCCCTAACCAGTATAAACCCTTGTGTCATCCGAGCACACCATACGAGTCAGACGCGCAAATACAAATTACTCGTCGGTGATCCGAAAACACCGACAATTAGTGTAGGTATCAAATTACGCATTTACCCCTACTTTATCATTCTAGAAAATAAAAAAATGGTTACATTCCGGAATGTTCTTCTCATAGATGAATAGAATATAATAGTTTTTAGACATGTGGTGGTATTTGTAATAGGTGGGTCTTATTGAAAAAATTGATTTCAAATCTACATTTACATTCTTTTTAAGATAAGATTTAAAATTAGAAATTTTTTTTGAACGGAGGGAGTACCTAACGAGCTAATTTGGTGTCTTATATTTTGAAACTAAATTTAATTTAAGCTACAAATTAATTGGACAAGGCTATTCTTGCCGATGAAGCCCCTAAAACGTGCTCTCCACAGAGAGGTGGGAAGCCAAAATAGTGTGCTCTCCGGCTCCTCCTCTAGGCCCCTAAAACATGCTCTCCTCATCATGAAACGTTCGCTTCACTCTACTGCTTTCCTACCGTCACTAGTGAGTGAAGCCCTACTAAAAATTTACGGAAATTAATTGGACAAGGCTATTATTGCTTGACAACAGAGAACAGGATTTTTTATCTCCCTGCACGTTTTCCAAAAAGCAAAATAAATTTTTTGAATTGCTATAAGTTCTTAATGTTATATCCGTTTTTAATTTCGTCCGCACCAATATATTCTACTTGACGAGGCGAACAAAACTAGATCCCACTTGCCTATGTTTCAAAAAAATTTATATAATAGTAATTCATGCATAAATATGTGCCATAGTTATACAATTTGAGGGGCAAGTTATTCAAATAAGCATAAAATAAGCTACCAACTAGGATTAAGTTCTTATACAAACCTAGTCTACGACCGCTAATCCTAATACTTGCTGCAACCTCTAATCCTAATACTTGTTGCAGCCCCTAATCCCAACCCAATATGCCTTGTATGCGTATGTGTTTTTCTTTTGTGGTAACTTTATGTGTACAATGACTATCTTTTTGTGATAACTTATATATTGTAGATAAGACAACTAATATGCAGAATTTACAAAGACATTGGAACCTAAAAGGATGATTGAAAACTAAAACTAAAAATCATTAAAAGAAAAAACTTAACTGAAAACTAAAACTAAAACACTGGAAAAAACAAGACTAAAAACTAAAAATAAAAAAATATTATTAGAACCTAAAAAGGTTGACCGAAAACTGAAGGTAAAAAATATTTAAAAACTTCACTAAAACCTGAAACTAAAAAGACTAAAAAATAGCTGAAAACTAAAAATAAAAAATGAAACATAAAATGAAACTGAAATTGACACTAAGAAGATAAAACTGAAATTTATAAACATATATTGGAAACTAAAGAAAAAACAAAAAGAAAAAATAAATAAAAAAAAAAAAAGAAAAATAATAAAAACTAAAGGAACAAAATTGGGCCAGGCTGCGGCAGGGTCGCTCGCTCTCCACGAGCGCGACCCCGTGCACAGTAACATTTGTGAAATTTAATTAATTATTCAGAGGGAGCGGTCATTTGGGCCCTGCAAAGCACCGACACCGAGGTGCGCGCACTCAAAGGAGTAAAATATCTGGGGGAGATGGGGTGTCCTTTTTTGCGGGAAACCCCCTGCACCTGTCTGAATTTCAGCCGCCCACCTCACACAAGCGGCAAGCCCATGGGCTCTCTCTCCCTTCTCGCCCCGGGGATATTTAACTTTTTATCATTACTAGGTAGCATGCTCGTGTGTTGCTACAGGACAACTAAATCTTTTATACTAAAAACATACGAATCGCGTGATAAGATAACAATTCTGTTAAATTAAATACCAACGTCAAAGTGACATTTAATTCAAAAGGCAAAGTTCGTGAAATTAACATAGACACGGAGAGCGCGACGTCGCAGGCTCACAAATTCTACTGTATAGACTTTTTCGTGATACGGCTAAGATAATATTTTATATCGGCAAAAAGAATTCTACGATATCCATTTCTTTCATACGCCAATAAATCCATGAATAAGTTTTGTTGCATCTCCATATAATCATGTACACACAGGTTCGAGTATATCTGCAAATAGGTTCGTGCCCGTGCGTTGCTACGGGACAGCTAAACTTTTATACTAAAAATACACGGATCGCACGATAAGATAACAATACTATAAAAGTATATGATCGACGTTAAAGTGACATTTAATCCAAAAAGCTAAGTTCGTGAAATTTACATAGTCACAGAGAGCTTGACGTCGCAGGCTCACAAACTCTACTGTGTAGATCTTTCCGTGATGCGGCTAAGATCATTTTTTATACCGGCAGGAAGAGATTTCCGATATCTATTTTTTTCGTGCGCCAATAAATCCACGAATAAGTTCCACCACATCTCCATATCATCTTGTACACGGCGCTGACAAACGAATTAGCCACAACTTATGTAATTAGTTTTATAATTAGCTCATGTTTAGTCCTTCTAATTAATATCTAAAAATTCAATATGACAGGGACTAAAGTTTAGTCCTGGGATCCAAACACCCCCTAACTCTCGACTCATGTTGGCTGCTCACTTGCACCACTATGCCTATGTGCCTGCACGTATATACTCTAATGTCAGAACGTCTAAGATGGTCTTTATTGTCCACCCTTTGAAAATATCATAACTTTAAGGTTGCCATTTGTGTATGATGTATGATTGGGATGCTTTGCACTGATTCATGAGGGTGTCCATGAGAGTCAAAATTTTTGATGCTATTATGATGTCTAAGCTTATCAATCAGACAGAGACGAACTTGATTGTTAAAATATTTTCAACACTGCTTTCATATACTCCCCTTGTCCCAAAATAGAATTCATTCTCGTTTCCCGAGAAATCAACTTTTTTTTAACTTCGACCAATTATATATAAAAGAATATTAATATTTATAATACATAATTAGTATCATTACATAGACCATTGAATATATTCTCATAATAAACTTATTTAGAGATATAAATGTTGCACGTATTTTTTACAAACCTGGTCAAAGTTGAGAAAGTTTGACCTACGCATCTAATAATGACTTATATTTTAGGGCAGAGGAAGTATATACTAATAAGAGTAGTCAACTGGAAGTCATGATGAACACAACAATACTTTCATATTATATGCTAATGGGAGCACGAAGAAACGCAGGGGAATGGACCTATATACTAATGGTGCATGATTATTGTTTCCTTCCATGCATGTGGCCTCAGATGATCGATTTGTTTCTTTCAAAGCAGGCGGGGATCGCAGGGATGGCAGTTTCTTTTTCTATTACGCGGGGTATCGCATGACCGGAAGGAAGGAGCGACCCAAAAAAAGTTGCACAAAAAAATTGTCTTATTTTTATTCTTTTTAGTTGTAGGAGATTACCAATGGCGACTCCTGAGATAGCATCTTTAGGTTTCGCGCTACGTTTTTAGCATCGGAGAGAGAAAAACGATACACATTTGCCACTTTTGCTCACGTGGCACGCTAGGTCCAGTGTCCAGCTCGGATCCGAGTCAGCAGGCCGATGTAAAATGACCGTCCTGCCCCTGGCATCTGTATTACCCTACGGCCCACTCCACTCTCTCCCATCCATTCCCCTTTCTCCTTTCTCTGGTCCTCGCTCGACGCCCGCCAGCCGCCGCCGCCGAGCACAACACCGCCCCCCACCGTGACTCCGACTTTCTCCTATAGTCTTGTTGTGTGCTAGTAGTACTACTAGCAAATAAGCGCCATAGAGAATTTAGCCCGATTCACTTTCCCATCACGTGAAGAGGGGCGTTGCCATTACCGACCATGTCGCAGCAGACGGCACCATCGCCGCCGTCGCCGTATCGACCGTATAGGCAAGTGCGGGAGGTGACGCCCCACAGCCGGGCGATCTCCTGCATGCGGTTCTCCCCCTGCGGGCGCCTCCTCGCGACAGCGTCCTTTGACGGAACGGTCACGCTGCTCTTCCCGTCCTCGCTCACCGTAATCGCCGTCCTACGCGGCCACTCCGACGACGTCTCCGACCTGTCTTGGTCCACGGAGTCGTACTACCTCTGCTCTGCCTCCGACGACCATACCATCCATATCTGGGACATCCGGCCCGTCCTCGCTGGCGGCGCCTAGGCCGCCGCCGCCGACCCCGGTGCAGACCGCTGCAACCGCGTGCTCAAGGGGCACACCAACTTCATCTTCAGCGCCAACTTCAACCTGCAGACCAGCTCGCAGATTGCCTCTGGGGGATTTGACTGTACCGTGCACATTTGGGACGTCAAAAACGGCCGATGCACCCGCGCCATCGAAGCGCACTCCGAGCCCATCACCTCCGTGCATTTCATTAGGGACGGATCCATCGTTGTATCAGGAAGCCATGATGGGAGCTGCAAGATTTGGGACGCCAAGACTGGGGCTTGCCTCAAGACGGTCATTGATGAAAAGAAGCCCACGGTGTCCTTCTCCATGTTCTCGCCCAATGGCAAGTTTATCCTCGTCGCCATACTGGATAACTCACTGGTATGACCAACTAGCTCGTCGTTGATTCATAATAATACCTCAAGAACCCAGACTGCTAGAGGACATGTCTTGCGGTGGGGGCGGCGTTGTGCGTGGCGACGGCGGCGGCTGGTGGGCGTCGCGCGCTGACCAGAGAAAGGAGAAAGAGAAGCGGATGGGGGAGAGTGGAGTGGGCCGCGGGCAATACAGACGCCAGGAGCAGGGCGGTCATTTTACATCGGCCTGCTGACTCTAATCCAAGCTAGACAGCGGACCTGACACGCCACACGAGCAAAAATAACAAATATATATCATTTTTCTCTCTTCAATACTAAAAACATAACGTCAAACCTTAAAAATACTATCTGTAATGCTAAAAAGTTAAATATCCCCTCGCCCTGCGCCTCGTCACCTCTCCGATCCCTCTCCTTCTCTCGCTTTCTCTCTCCATCTCGTTTCCCCCGCCTGCGCAGCCAGCGCAAACCCTAGCCCTCAAGCGCCGTTCTGCGAAGCTCTCGGCAGCGGATAACTCTACCTGTCGCGCAAGGATCCGGGGAGAGAAACCAGCGGCAACTTACGTGGATCGGGGTTGTTTGGTGGCTGCTGCGGCGGCGGCGCAGGGATGGACCGGAAGCGCATCAAGGACGCGCTCGAGAAGCACCTGGAGAGGTCGTCGCCGTCCACCTCCAGGGGCGTCGTGCCCAAGGAGAGGGAGCGCCTCGCTGCCGGGAAGCTGCCGGCGTCGCTTGACAAGGCGGACAAGGTGTCTGATGGTGGTAAGAGCTAGACCTTTCGCGAACCTTCGTTATTCTTTACATATTTTGATTACCTTCGTCACTGTGTATGATGAACTGCCGCAATGCATGCTTGGTTTGAAAGATGCGACTTCTCTGTCTTTTTTCGTGCAGAATCTTATGTTGAAATTTATTGTGCTGTGATTAGATTTCGTGGCTTCCGTTTTTATGTCCCCTTTAAATGAGAAGCTCACTTCCTTGCCTGAAGTGGAAGATGGCGTGCTTTTCGTTTGTATGCTGGTTCTTTTGCAACAAGTGTTGTTATAAGCAATATAAACTAGGAAACCGGTAAAAATGAGCAAAGAGCCAAAGACTAAAGAGTTTATGAGCGGTTTGCTTTGTAGTGGGGTTCAGAGCTGGGGTATCTCTGAAAACCTACAATGAAGAAACAAATGGAAGTGTAACATTGGTAGTTGGAAATGACTTGGATTGCTTTAAGGATGAGATGGATCAAATTCTACAAACCATTTATCACACAGAATCAGAAAATGAATGCTTCGTGTTTTCGTTCTTGAATACTATCCAAGGTTGTTAAATCATGATCCAGAATGGGATCGAAACCCCAATGGTAGGATCGCAAATCCTAGGATCATAAGTGCTAGAATCGTAAAATCGTAGATTCTACTTAATGGAATCGTAGAATCAACCTGATAAACTAATATCGTAAAGTCATAAAATCGCACCATAGGATTGCGATTTTAACAACTACGATACTATCTCTGGCTGGATTTAGTAGATGTTTTGGTCTTTTGGACAACCACTGACTTGCAATTAGTTCTACCATGATGTCTGGAGTGTCAACTTCTGACCAGACAGAGTGATAGTATAGTATCTTGTTTGCTGAAGAATATGTGATTATTTCTTCTGCTTGGTACTACTCCCTCTGTTTCAAACTGCAAGTTGTTCTGGCTTTTCTATGTACATATCTAGGTACTGCACACCTAGATATACATTATGTCTAGTCTAGATACATAGTCAAAGCTATGTATCTAGAAAAGCCAAAACAACTTACAATTTGGAACGCAGGGAGTACCTTTCAGTTGGGTCAGCGGAATTCTCAGGTTTCTGTTATCTGTAAGTGAGTCTTCTTAGTATGGTATTGGAAGCAACAAAGCACTTCCTGCAGCATGAGGTTGTGTACTTGTATTGGACCATCCTTCGTTATGGGGTGCTCTGTTGGCCATGAAAAAAAGAACTAGCGGTATTCTGATCCTTAATAAAGAAGGTCGAAATGAGAATATTTTTTTTTCTAGATGATAAGGGGAGAAGTATGAACGGAATGAAAGTTAATAGGATGGGAGGCACCAGGAACTGAATCTAGTGACGTGGAGTTAATCATCTGTTTCAGCGCCTTATGGTGCGGGAAGCATTTTGCTGATCCTCTCTTTGATGCATGTTGTTAATTTTGGTTGGATCAATGCTGGTACATGTGGACCTGACCAAAAAACTGAACGCATAGTCACATTTTTTCCCTCTCTGAGTCGAACACATGGGATCAGTGCCACTGAGGCACTGGCCAAACCAAGGTGATGTTGTTCTGTTCGGTTCATTTTTCACTCTTTGCTGCCTTCAGATATATCTAGTGTGGAACCATGAACTTGTTGAATGGCTGAACAGACTGGGTTAGAAGAAAATGCTAAATTCTATTACGCAGACTGTGGATTGGTTATGTTCACATTGTAGACAAAAGAAGCATTGGCTAACGAAGGCCTATAACAACATACCATTAATGCAGCATCTTAACCATTCAAACAAGAGAAGTTATGTACGCAATGAGTCAATGACCACTTTATTTTTTTGTCAGATTGAAGGAAGTGGGAGCTGCAACCCAGTCGTTGTTCTGCCCCAGATGTAGTTTGAATTTAGTCTGCTGGATTTTTCATCTCTTTTTTACTGTTGTTCTGCTAATCTCTGGTAATGGTGCACACCGCCATGCCTTAATGCAGGATATGACTGCACCTTTGGCTAAACTTTAGGATTAACTTGATACCACTCCACAAATCCTGAGCACATAATAAAAAAAATTATTTATGGTTTACATATGCCTACCCCAACTTGTTTGGGACTTAAAGGCTTTGTTGTTGTTGTTGTTGTTGTTGTTGTTGTATTTATGGTTTACATATGCTGTTGTATGCTTTGTTTTTTGTTTTGTGGATTGATATTAAAATGTGAACGATATACATTTTTTTGTTAGAGCATGAGGAAGCTGAGCTAGATCAGTTGGTTGAGGGTGTGGATGTATGCCTAGACCACCCAGCTGAAGTCCTCATCGATCTGAATTTGGGTGCTTATTTTCTTAATAAAATGCCACCTAGTTCTAGTTTTTTTAGAGCATGGTTTAAAAGGTTTTTTTTGTAGTATTTGTCTCTATTTTGCTCATGGTTGTTTGTTCTTATCCAGAGTAGCTGTGATTATGAGCATATTTGATTTTAGCATCACTAGGCATCCATTAACTTTTTTTTTCTATTTTGGTTTGCAGAGGAATTTGAAACTGACAGTGAAGATTCTGATGTCAGTGGTTCTGAGGGAGAGGACACATCCTGGATTTCATGGTTCTGTACATTGCGAGGCAATGAATTCTTTTGTGAGATCGATGAAGACTACATACAGGATGATTTTAACCTGTGTGGTCTGAGTAATCAGGTCCCATATTATGATTATGCACTTGATCTCATCTTAGACATTGAGTCTTCTAATGGTGAGACTGTTTTCCTTAAGGAAGTTAATGCATATTGGTTTGCCTTTTTTGAATTTATGGTCTGTAACTTATTTTCAATCCACTTATCTCTCCTAATCAATCCCGTCAACTGAAATCAGCTAATAGGTCTAGATTAATCGTACTGTTGCACTCATGAGACAGGACCATTTCTGTACAGGTGATGTGTTCACTGAGGAGCAAAACGAATTAATCGAGTCGTCTGCAGAGATGCTGTACGGATTAATTCATGCACGATACATCTTAACCAGCAAGGGTCTAGCTGCAATGGTAATCTAATCTATGTTATGGTCTAAGTAGGATGAAGACATGTTTTGCTCCTCTTATCTCCCTTTGACATTGAACTATTCTGCTTTCGTTTGCTGCAGTTGGAGAAGTTAAAGAACTATGACTTTGGTAGATGCCCCAGAGTGTACTGCTGTGGCCAGCCCTGTCTTCCAGCAGGGCAATCAGATATTCCTAGATCGAGCACAGTGAAGATATATTGTCCGAAATGTGAGGAACTTAATTATCCAAGATCCAAGTACCAAGGCAGTATCCTTTTGATATGTTTTTTTTGTGAATTATTTTGTATGATATTTCCATACTTCCATTTACATCTACTGGCCATTTTATGCTGTCCTTTTCAAGCGATTTATATTTTGACCACCCTTCAAAACTATTGGCATATATTTCTCTTGCAACATCATATATGTTTTCTCTGATCTCCATGCCAGCAGCCTGGTGAACCACATTGAACATTTCTCCCCTTATTACTTATCTCCAGCCCAGCTTTTTCATCGGCAAATAATCATAGATGGATTTTTGTAAGTTGCATGTCCTTTACTTTACCCAGACATTGATGGATCATACTTTGGGACGACATTCCCTCATCTTTTCCTGATGACTTATCCGCACTTGAAGCCGCAGAAGCCGCCGTCGCAGCAATACACTCCAAGAGTTTTCGGCTTCAAACTTCACAAGCCGTCATGACAGAGTTGTACTTTCAGCAGAAGCACCCTTTTCACCTAGGTTTTAGGGAGAGCACCGTGGCCTTCAAATGTTGTGGCCTATTGATGTACGAATTCGCGAGCTTTGGGTCTCGCTATAAACTGTTGTGAAATTTGTATATGTTATCTGATATTACTGTTGTGTAACCTAGGTTCTCTCTCTCACTCACTTGATCAATGTATGTCAACCTGCATGGTTTCAGGTCATTTTACACGAAATCTTTGCCGCTCTCGTGCTCATGTCAATATATGGCCAATATGGGTACGGTTTCTACGCACTTTTCCTGTGCCCAGGAGATTGAACACTGCACTACAATGTTACCATCAGGGTACGTGTAAATTCATGTTGTGCCGGTGGACGCTAGCATGATCTCCATGAGCCCACGGCGCTGCTGTTCGCCGACGGATACTGATCGAAAGAGCGAGCAACGTCGTCGTCCTGTGGATGCCGAGTTGCCGACCGGGCTGCGTAAACGCGACCAGGCGGGATGAACCCTACCAACCACCGGCTGCAACTGCAATCTGCAAGATACTCCCTCCATCTCAAATTGTAAGACGTTTGACTTTTTTGGTCCCAAATTTGACCACTCGTCTTATTCAAAAAATTTGTGTAAATATAGTCAAATTTAAGTTATTCTTGAAGAATTTTTATTAATAAACCAAACCACGGTGATATTTTGCGTGTTTTTGAATAAGGCCCACCTTGATGTCAAAAAAATGAACGTCTTACTTACGTCGGATTTGTCAACTCGACTTTCACGTCCGGATTTGTCATTTCCGTTTTCGAACACTCCTATACACGTGATCAGACGTTCAGGCTATGCGACTCGGCTGCATGAGGGAGTACCCAAAATCAGTCAGCCTAGGCGTTCGGTTTTAACCGACGGTTCGGTTCGGTTTCTTTGGTTTTCTAAAATTTTGGTTTCCAAAAAATGACCCTGGTGGTTTGCTAAAATTAAAAAACCGATCAATTTCGGTTTGGTTTTTTAGTTCGGTTTTTCGGTTAAAATCGAATAAACTGATGCAAGAAAACATCAGACAAGATTTAGAACTAACTTGCATAGCACAGTATATTATTTGAAAATTCAAGACTGTTACAAACTTAACAATTCAATGCCCAAATCAAATATTACAAATTTGTAGTTCATTCTTGATAATAAACCACAGTACTCCATCAGTTTTGATAAACAACATGAAAAAAACAGGTTCCAGCCAGCAGGACTACCGACTATTCGGTTTCTCGGTACTTCGGTTCGGTATGGCAAAGAAACCAAAGCCGAAGCCGAACACTGAACTTCACAGAACTGGAAACCGAAACCGAACCAAAAAAATGAACTAATGACTATTCGGTTCGGTTTCGATTCGGTTCGTTCGGTGTTCGGTTTTCGGTAAAAAATGCCCAGGGTGAAAAAACAGGGATTAGTGTCACGCTGTGCCCACGAAGTATAACTACTCCAGCCCTTGTTCTCTCTTTCATGTTGCAATGGCTTGTATTGGCACAGTGGGTTGACCAAAAAGTGGTCAGCTTGTGCTGCTTCTGTATCGATTTTCTGCAGAATAAGCTGAGCATACACCGAGACAAATCTGCCAGCACACGTTGCTGTCAGATTTTATTTTCGGTGTCAGCTCCTAATTATGCAGGATTACTCTATTATGGGATCCGGATACCCTGTGCGTTTGGTTCGAGGAACGAGACGATCCGTTATCTTCTCACTTCTTACTTTTTTATTTGATTTATGAAATGGAATGAGTTGATCCATCACTACCTCATTCTTCGTAAGCTAATAATCAATATATACATAAAAAATGTGTTAAAATTGATAGAATAAACTTACGATGCATCACCTTAAAACATGAGTGACTCTCCGATCAAACACACAAAGTACTAGTACACGTCAGACTATGTCAGCGTCAAGACCCCGCGGCCACGGATAAGCACGCCGGCCGATGGAATCGACGACGCAGCACCGCGCCCATCAGACATTCAGACGCATGGCGAATTTTCCTCCCGGCGTCCCTGTCAACGCATACAGCCAGATCGAGCCCGCCGCGCTTTTCTTCCTTGTTACGCTTGACGCGATGACGCCTAATTTTCAAACGGATTTATATGAACAGAAATACGCACAATATTATCGTTTCCCAGGAGAAATGTTTGCTCATGATCGCTCAAGCAAACGAAGCGATACCGTAAACAGGGGCTGCCGGGACCCCACTTTTCAGGGGTCTAAATGCAGATGAGGATGGCCTCCCGTTCCTCTTGTCTTTGAACAGTGAACATTGGTTGATCGGGTAACGCTAATGGTCATATCAGTTCGTCCATTTTGTTTTTCTTTAAAGAAAAAAAAACTTGCAAAGAGAAACTTTAGATGTTTGATAAGCATACATGATGTGATACAATTGTGCTTCACTCACGTTTTCTGAAGTGATCTACAACATGCCATTTCAGATAAGCATTCTCAATCATTGCAACTTGTCATTGGATTATATGAAACACGTTGGCACAGGATAGCAACGTTGTTAGAGGCGTTGAGGACCATTGCGTTGCGTGCGTCGTAAGTAGGTTGTACCCAAGTATTCCCTCTGTCAAAAAACAAATGTACTTAGCATTTTATGAGAAGTCAAACAATTTTAATCGCAAAAAAAAGAGAAGTCATATGATTTTAACTTTAATTATCTCAAATAAATATCATAGCATTGATTATAAAGTATATTCTTGTAGTAAATTTATTTGGAGGCACAAATGTTGATTTTTTTTATAAATAGATCAAACTTGAGAAAGTTTGACTAGTCTCATATCTCAAATTGCATTTTTTTAAGAGGGAGGGAATAGTACGCAAAGGGCAGCTTGGCAAAACTATGAGCATCTCTAGTAGTTTGCCATAGTTTACTCCGCACTTGCTAAACTAGTAGATCTAGCAAGTTAACCGAAGAAATACCAACCTTCAAATTTGTTCTTCTCCAACATACTCTTATAATAACTTTTTAAATGATTTTGCATTTGAAACGCTGAACTGTTTCTAACCAACCAAATCTTTTTAACAGTTTTTTGTTTTACTGCTTTCTCTTCTAGAATCTTTTTTTTTAAATTTACTCGTGTGTCCAATTTACTCCAATCTTCCCCAAAAAACACTGGACGAGTTCCTCTCAAGTCTCGACTATGAAAATTTACGAGTCAGAGAGGATATTTGATAACTTTTTATTTTTAAAGAATTTTTTTACCAAACCACCTGTAGGCCACTTTTTCCCTTTTTACTAAACACTTAAAATAGGAAGTTATTTTACAAAACTCTAGAGACAGTAAATAGAGCATCAACTACGCACAAAGGGTAAATGTGGATTTGTTAAGTGTTGCTAACGAAATATCGCACCACCCTTTGGACTTTAATAAGGGTTACATGTCCCGAAATAGACATGTTTCCCTTACGCCTTTTGACCCAAAACACATTATCTGAATTCAGATTAGTAGAACATGTCAATAGTTGGAGCTAGTACAACGGTAAAGCTGCTTTTGAAGCTAAAGCTAGCAAAATATGTTTTATCGGTGAAGCTGAGTTGTACCAAACAAACCCTTATTGCCTATCATGATTTGAGGAACAAAAAATAGAGTAACTGGGGTGGCTACCTCAGCTTGCTTGCAGGGTAGGTCCGCCCCTGACATTGAACATTGGCTGGTCGGGTAGCTCTAATGATATCCATTTTGTTTGTTATTAAAAAGACTTGCAAAAAGAAACTTTAGATGTTTGATAAGCACATATGATGTGATACAATCGTGCTTCACTCACGTTTCTCTGAATTGTTCTACAACATGCCATTTCAGACAAGCATTCTGAATAATTACAACTTGTCATTGGATTATATGAAACACGTTAGCACACAAGACAACAAGGTTGCTTTCTGCGAATGGATAGCAAGTTTTGTTTTTGTTTTTAACAAAGAGTGGATAGCAAAGGTTGTTAGAGGTGCTGAGAACCACTGTGTTGCGTGCGTCGTAAGTAGGATATACTCCCTTCGTTCTAAATTGTAATATGTTTTTGAGTTTTTTTTAGATATGTAGCTTTTGCTATGCATGTACACATATGCTATGTCTACGTATGTAGTAAAAACAATACATCTAGAAAAGTCAAAAAAATATTCTATAATTTGAAATGAAGGAAGTACGGACTAGTAATATACTACCTCCATTATCTTTTATAAGGCGTATATGCATATCAAGATTCAATGGAGGAAGTAGTATGAAAAGATCAGCTTGGCAAATACTAGCGCAAGGGCAAAGATGAGATTTGTTAATTGTTGCTAACAAGTCGCTTCTGTGATCTGCCTTATAACTTGTCTACATTTTAGTGCTTATTAATCAGACATTAGGTTTGGTATCCATATGGTTATAATCTGGTCTACCAAACTTAATGTTGCACCACGTCTTTGGACTTGAGGGTTACATGTCCTGAAATAGAAATGTTTCCCTTACGCATTTTAACCAAAAATCACACAACATATGATTGCGTCGCTCTCTCATTTATTGTTCAGATTAGCAGAACATGTCAATAGTTAGAGCTAGTTCAATTAAAGCTCCGAGGATATTTACTATAATTACTTTTTTTACATAGAATTAGCAACACACATCATGTATTAGCTATTCCTATATTTTTTTCAAACTGGGAATTTGATAGTTCAATCCTTTTTTTTCATATACGAGAGAAGTAGACTAAGCAATCACTTTATGGATTTGCAACAGATTTTG